ATCAGATCATCAATAATGATTGAAGGTCTAGCACTACGTTTATCATGAATGTTTGCGGCGCGGCCATCTTTCAAGGCCCTTACCCAATCTCGCACCATTCCATCTCTTTTCACCATTCACTTACTTCACTAATTTGTCGATGAATGACAACTGATTTGAAACGCATGCACTTTCCAGTCGGTGGAATTCTCAACAGGTGGAGGCTTTTTGAAATCATGTAAGCAGATGTAGACTCGAGCCGATGATTCCGTAATGGCGTACTTGGCTTCCCAACAGATGTAGCTTCACGATGCACATGCATGGAACGGCGGTCGTAGCGCTCCCGCTGAATTTGAAAACGGCGCTGACTCTGAAAAAACGCACCTTATATGACAATTATATCCATTCTATTGATTCAAATTAATTATTTACATTTGAGAAAAGCAACGGAGCTTAATATGTGTCCAAGCAAAAAATTAATATTTCTAACATAGTCATATATTATGAAGACACTCTGCAGCATCTTAGATAGTTGCCATTATTTTTCACGTTGGTTTTTAGAATTACTGCGTTTCCGATAACATTGTTCATTTCACTGAATGAAAAGAACAAGAAATAAGGATTATTAACCAATGAATTTGTGATATATGAGTATTTTATTCACCTATAATAAAGACGGAAAGAAGATTCTAACCAGAAGCTGATTTCTATCGTGTGACCAATTAAGCAGACCCGGAACAACTTTGCGTCGAGTGTTGCGACTCTTCGACCGGAGCCTCGGCGGTCCCCGAATTTTGATTCAGTGATATAAATGATGATGAACTCTGGTCTGATTCACGTCCCACGACCGGTACTAGTATTACAAGCCGGATAATGCTGACAAAATACAAAGTATTTTTACAATTTGTTTCCAAATTCATACGATGATGGCAGGTATTTTGTATGTTGATTTCAAACAACGAGATTTCAAGTAATTCAATTTGAAAATCTGCTTCCGTTATTATCATATATCTGGTTATTCCAACGCAACAATTTCTTGTTTAATTGTTTTATCATAAATATTCAAAATTAGTAAATTTTCCTTATGAGCCCTTGCCTCGTCCCTCCGTCATTTGACCTCTATATAACAGAAATAGATGAAGATTATTACTAATTTCGAGCTAAACCTAACGAACTACCGCCACTAAGATGAGTACCGGGTAAAAAACAGCATCAAAGCCAGTGGTTTCAATTTTTTGCTAGCCCGTGCTCTTCTGAGAAACAGAAAGAATTTTCATGTCTCTTCTGTCCGTAATGGACCAACACGTAACATTGAAAAATTACTTTTCAACTTTTACCGCACAACTTTTTACTTTTCAACTTTATTGCACCAACACTAACTTCATGTACCAATAAATATTTAAATTGATCGAAATCAATAACATCAAATGACTCTGGGTTTATGCCGCGAATACAAAAATAATTTTGTTTTAATTAATTTGAATTAAAAAACTGCAGTAGGCAAATGATATAATAGTGCTCCTACACTTTTTTGAGGAACAAAACACGGTCATTTTTCCTTGAATTAATAACGGCAATGAGCCTGCTTTACATGAGCCTTCCCAAAATTTGATTTCTACGCCGAAACTGCCGCTCTTAAATTTTGCTCAATGTTGAACTGAGACCTGAATTTTATTTTTAGTGACTCCATAATTGAGGAGCTTATCTCTTAGGGATAAAATACTGCAATAGGAAATGGTATACGCTAAATTCTTTGCCTATAGGTGAATGGCTAAGTCGATGTCGCAATCCTCTGTAGTTAAAGAGCCAACTTCTTCCAAGATAGAAATAGAGATTGATTCAAGGAATCCTCCCAACATACAGCAACATGTTCAGGATCAAACTGATTTTACTGCAATGCCTAATGAATAATGTAAATTAAATGAACATTTATGCTTTTCATTCGCTAAATTTTCTTGCTATACAGGTGACTACCGCAACGTTATTAGTTGAACGCTGAAACGGTAATCGTCGTGCACGACTTGCAAGTAGCATTGGAAACTGGTTCCATTTTTATTCTTAAGCTATTTCCAACATAATTAAAACGTCGCGCCCTCTTTCTGAATTTTCAACAAAAAAAATATTAGACGAGTAAATTGCAATAATCGAACTGCCTCGATCACGTAACAAAGAGCCACTGGATCCCGGGCCACCGGCCACAAAAAAAAAATTAGAACAATATCGCAATTTTCCTTCCGCCAAAATTTGGACGAAATTGGACGTAGGTGCTGATGTCCACTCATTTTCTTAGGAAAATTGAATTCCAGTAATGGGCCAACAAAGACATGCTTCCATCGAATACTTTGATGATGTTTCAATAGGAGATGGTTTCTGACAATCACCGTGTTGCGGTAGAGCTTCTACACATATTGCCTACTCATTAAATTTGTACGCGATAGTGAAACAGTTTCAACTTTCAAGGTTTATTCGGGTAGCTAGAAATTATTAAATTTATAGCATTTATTGAACATAAATTTAAATTCAGCTTGCGCAGATTGCCCAGATTTTCTCACTACATATTGGGAAAAATCATCAACTAAATGTTATAATGAGTTCTGTCATGGGTTCTCTCACCTGGGCAAGTAAATTTCGCCTTCCCCGCCGAGGCACTGTAATGTTTTATTGCATCTAACTGACGTAGGGAGGCATAGATACCGCACCCGAACTCGTTTGGCTTGCAGGTTATTGGGAGATATATAATTTTTATTATTTATAGAAATAAATTTGAAGTGCATTTATTTCTGTGTGCGGTCCCCAAATTATTTATTTTGAAGCCCATCAGGTGGCCTACTCACGTAAATACTACCCTTACTATAAATGCTACATAAATTCACTAGCCGGACAATAGTAAGAGCCTATTGCTTAACTAATAAAATGGTCACGTTTGGTGAATTTTACATGTACTCATCAATGCAAAACATGACCCTCGAGGCCTTGAGTGTCAACGACTGACGAAGTCAGCCTCGACACATCCGCTTGTCCTCTCCATTGAGCCTTGACGGGATTTGAGCTGCCTGTTCGCCCTTCAAAAATCCAGCGTCAGTTATTGTTGCATTCGACCAATGAGGAAAACTAGACTTCTTTCTTTCTTCCTTATTCAGTTGAGAACCAGGTACGTACAGTATAGGTAGAAATAACCAACAAATGCACGAAAGAATAAATTGAAAGTTAACCCTAAAATCATAAAAGCAACGAGCAAAACGCTATTGAGGAATATGCCAGCGTTATTCCAAGCAACACGAAGAAAGACATAAATTATTTCCAAGCCACGGGCGTTGCGTCAGTTCATGCCTAGTAATTATATAAATTATATCCAAGCCACGGGCGTTGCGTCAGTTCATGCCTAGTAATTATAAAATTGCATAAATTATTTCCAAGCCATGGGCGTTGCGTCAGTTACTGCCTAGTAATTATATAATTATATAAATTATATCCAAGCCACGGGCGTTGCGTCAGTTACTGCCTAGTACCGTCACAGCACTTCACAGCAGTATAAAAATAGAAAGACGTCATTCCAAACTATCGGACAATACGCTTTTCCGCCACTCTGAAAAAAATCGAGTAAGGTTCCACGGTGGCACCTAATAAATCGAAATGAAAGACAGGTAGCTGAAAATAAAATTTGGCATTTTAAAAACTCACGATACGAATTATTGGCCACTGCAACTGCAAACGCTGATCTAAAAAAAGCCGGGAGGGAACGCTGCACACTCTACTCACCAGCGTGAACATGGTGCCGGTTTATTAAAACGTTGCTACGTACAGGTAGCCACTTGATGTACAGCTAGGTAGCCCACGTGATGCGTAGGTGCTGATATGATGACGTAACTCTAGCTGTGGTATTATCAAAACATTTGCGCGGGAGACTAGGTACAATAATTTATACGTAACTGTACGCCTGCTCGAAGGTGTCGTAAGCGGAGTTACGTATGAATTTTTAGTGTTGAAGCAATATGAAATTAATAAATTAGTATCAACAAGTTGAATTGTAATATAATTTAATCTATGATTCGACTTGGGTATGATAAGGGATTGTACTAAACGGTGCTTTAAGGAAAAAAATTTCAATTGAGTTTATGCCAGAAGCTAATTTGTTCTCCTCTTGCGTTTTAATTTACAAGCAAATGTTGATATTCATGTCCAAGAGTTGTATGGATTCACTAAAATAATAATTCAAAAATATGGATTCAAAATTCCATTATTTCAAAATTATATGGAGTTTGACAAGCCAACCATTCTTTTAGCTCCGTACACATATTTCTTTCTCTGACAGTCCCAATTCCAACTCGTAAAATTTTTTACAGTTTAGGTCTCTTTCAAAGCCTTCTAATTTTGAATGTGAATAGTGCAATTTTTCGCCACGATTACAAGAAATTTTGATTAATGATCGTAACAAGTGTATTGCTATTTGGATAACGTCCAACACATTTCTCCGCATGCTCCCTAGTCAGTCTACGCTGGTGCCGCTGACACGGCAACCTCCAAAGCCTCTGATTGGTCAGTTAGCCAGATGGTTTTGATAATAGCTTTACAGACGAGTCTTGCGTACGAAAGTTTTAATAATGCCAAAATCAGGGTGTACTTACGCTACACGTATTTTTTTGTACGTACGTATAAAAAGATGTATAGTTTTGGTTATCCGACCCCTGGTAACCAAAAGACGGACGAATAGCACGGCTACAACCATACTGGTCAACATACCATTATCATACTGAACCTGAAGCTCGAGCCTGCTTAACCGGAATGCAGACGTACCTCCTTAACCGGAATGCTAGTCATAATTTATCGTGCCGATTTAAAATTCTATTTACGAATAATGCCTTACAAAAATTGGGCAGATTTTTAAGAATCTTGGACTAAGCACGGCTATCGCGAAACAAACCGCTATTGGACTAATCTAGCATAGAAACGGAAAACAAATAACACTGATGTCATCTCGTAACAAGCAGTAATCGGACAAAAGATGGCACGAAACAATTTAGGATGGGAAGGCAACTTTATTATAACTAGTTACAATTGAATTACTGCATAATGCTTAAAGAAAACAGCAAAATAGAAGGGTTCCAAGCGATAAATTCACCAGCCGGACTGCTTTAGCATTTCATGTGCTGCTGTAAAGTTGCAAAAAAAGTAATTAGATGGTAAAGTCAGCCAGGAGTTCAGAGAAAGTCTCGATGCAACCGCATTGGTTGCATAGTCGTGATACTCCGACCAAGCCTCGACTCGTTGCACAGCCTTATTAATACATCGTAAACTCTTGGGACTTTCTTTTTTGAGCTTTTCTAGAAGACTTCTTTTATGCGATCGACGATACCACTTAAGCAAAATCATTCATCTAAGCATGGCTATGAATCTCTAGCTTTTCCATGTCCTTCATTTCTACAATCATTCTCTTAATGTCCTCCTTTTTGAGACGTCCTTTATTAATGGAGATGGTAACTTGACCTCGGGCTCCAGTCTTCCGGTCCACGCCAGTAGCACTCAATATCCCGTTTTTGTCTAGGGAAAAAGTTACATCGATTGAGGGTACCCCAGCCAGGGCCACTTCGATCCCTTCAACCCTGAACTCCCCCAATAAATTGTTCCTCGAGGCAACTGCACTTTCGCCTTCGTAAACTTTGATTAATACGAATTTTTGATAATCTTCGACAGTAGTGTAATTCCTAGTGCATTCGACCGGTATCTTAGAGTTTCGTTTGATAATGATGCTCATTTTATCACCAATAATAGCCTTGCCAAGGGACAGCGGGGTCACATCTGTCAGCTGAATGTGTTTAACACTTCGGTCGTTGTTGAGCATGGCTGCCTGGACAGCTGCGCCATAAGCAACAGCTTCCGCAGGGTTGATCGTCCTTTTGATTTCCTTGTTTGGAAATTTTTCTTCTAGCATTTTTCTGAGCTTGGGAATCCAACTGGAACCGCCGACTATGACTACTTCGTGAATTTCGTTTGTTGTAAGCCCCGCATTGGTAATCGCTCTGTCCACACACTGCATAGTTTCTGTAAAAATATCTTCGCAAAGTAATTCAAACCTGATTCGGGTCAAAACAAAGATGAAATCTTGCCCATTACTCAAGCTCTCTATTTGAACTTTGTCCTGCTTCCGAACTGACAAATTGATCTTTGTCTGTTCGGCAGCTTTGACAATTTTTGCTTGAACTTTCATTTCATTAGATACATCCAGCCCTGTTCTCTCCTTGAATTTATCAAAAATTTACCAACGCGACAGTCTATGTCCCCTCCTCCAAGCTGGCTATTCCCCTCAACAGATTTGACTTCGTAGTTTTCTTTCTTCATTTTCAGAACCGCTACATCAAAAGTCCCGCCGCCGAAGTCGAAGACCAGAATGTTTGTCTCATAGGCGACGATCGTGTCTTCCCCGTAGGCAATGGCGGCAGCGGTAGGTTCATTGAGGATTTTCAGTACCTCAAGACCCGCAATGGTACCAGCATCAATTGTAGCCTGTCTTTGAGAGTCCGTAAAGTACGCAGGTACAGTAATGACCGCCTTCCTAACTTCACATCCAAGGAATATTTGGGCGATTTCTTTCATTTTGGACAGCACCATCGCTGAAATCTCTTCTGGGGTGAAAAATTTTTCCTCTTCGAGATATTGAACGCAGATTTTGGGGTTGCCGCTGGCGTTGACGACGCGGTATGGCCAGTGAGGGAGTTTATTCTGCACTGCTTCATCGCTGAACTTACGACCGATGAGTCTCTTCACTTCGTATACTGTGTTGGCAGGATTTTCAGTGCGCTGAAGCTTGGCCGACTCGCCAATAAGTCGTTCATCTTCAGTGAACGCAACAAACGACGGCGTGAGGCGACTACCTCGCTCGTCGGCGATGATCTCCACGCGCCCGTTCCTGACGACTCCCACGCACGAGTTACTCGTGCCCAAGTCGATGCCGATTGCGTAGTCTTTATTCGTAGCCATCTTGAAGGCGTCAAAGTTACTGTATAAAAGTGTATTAGCTCACCTCTGTTCTAGTTTGCTGGATTAATGTCTATAATTTTTCTTCTAAAACAAGTTGTCTCGAAGTTACATCGAGAGTCTTGTCATTCTGATTGGAGCACTTTAATTTCTGTGGAACTGAGTAACATGTTAGAGCATGAAATAACTGCACTAGTTTGTAACTCTTGCAATTATAATTGCATAATAATTGCGATATCAACTGCTTTTGGCAACATCATTGGAAGTTTTCCCCGGATTTGCCTATAAGTAGGATCACAGGTTTGCCTATAAGTAGGATTATAGGTTTGCCTATATAAGTAGTATAGTTCACGTATTGGTTTGCCTGTAAGTAGTATTGATTAGAGATTTTCCTATAAGTAGGGTAGGGTGGCCCAGTGGTTACAGTTCCGTGTACCAGGATTGGAGCAGTGAGAAGCGGGTTCTATCCCAGCTCTGAACGCCAGTTTCTGGTCAGAATCGGCGGGGAGGCCGGGCGTTTAAGCACAGCAAAAATTGAAGCAACGAGTCTAGAGTTCGAGACCGCAACAAGCTGTGAATGTTCGGCGTTATCAATTATTGATTATCGGCGGCAGGCCTATGTCCTAATTAGCGCTGAAATTGCGACTATATACATTATACTATATACATTACACAAGTAATTTGCAAGTTAATGAATTGTTCAAATTTATGCACGTTTCATTAAATCTAAAAACTCATAAAATCCAAGATACCTATACTCATTCTAATCTATACCTATGAAATTTAAAAATCCTATACGGAAAACTTTCAAGTCTGGAAGCCATATAATGCCGCATGGATATCTAATGTAAATCTGTTAGTGCCTCGCGCCATGCAGAAATGTCAGTGACAACAAATAACACGCATTTCAATTGCTCAACATAATCCTGCCTACCACCAGGCTTCAAATAACTAAGTAAATCTCCAAAAGAATTCCTTTATTATGTATAGTTACTATCCAAGGAAAAACAATGAAAAGCATTATCTGCGATTGCACGATGCACTTGCTTACCTTAATTGATTTGACTTCTCTTTGTTGCAAGCTTTAAAACCACTATTTAGTGGTATATACTGATTTAAGATTGTTACCGTATTGCCAGCTAACCAATTTTAGGAACCCAATTTTCGATTAAGGTGAATCTCTTCGCCCAACATTATAAATATTTCATGAAAACACTTATCCATGCATTACTGAAGCGAGCCATTCCCAAATTCACGGGTACACATCAAATATTAATACGTCGAGCCCTCATGGTCTGAAATCTTTCTATGCATCCGTGATGCAGGAATCTTAGAAGATGACTTCCAAAAATATGGGGGCGAAATTTCATTACAAACCTGAGCGCTCAAATGAATAGTACCAGCTCCGCTGTAACGCACCTTCTATAGAACTGCACGTAACAGCAAGCCCAGGGGCCATACTTTCAAAACTGGCTTAGTGAACGTAAGTACTTACGTTCTATTTTCTTGTCTATAATTGGTGAATTTTGCATGCAAGGCCGTCAATGATTGGCTGATGAACTTACGATCTCTTAACCTTTTTTGAAAGTATAGGCCCAGGTTATCATTTTGCCTTCGTCTATAAGATTTAGGATAAGCATTTGCCCTTACAACGTTGAACGTTCGTGGTTTTGCAGGTATATAAACATTTCTTCAACATATCGAACTACTTCCGATTTAATTTGATAATAGACTTTCATTTAACCTGTGAAGACTATTTATTCCGCTTCTGCTGGGCCAGGAAAAAATGTCGCGCGCTAAATTACATAAGTGTTAGGAAGAACAAGGGTACCAACACTTGCGAAGCCTTACTTCTTTGCTACCAGCGTTCTATTTCTATTCGTTGAATTTTAAAACGTAAACTAAAGGTTTATAACCAAAAATAAAGTAGTTATGCTAATTCACTGGAGGATCGGAGAATTACATTCCTAAAATTATTCTCAGAGGTTGGAGCGATTCCTAGTTAATCTACCTATGGTTTGTTATGCAACTCGATGTTCAGGTTGTTGTAATGCTGGGAAATATTGGCTACATGAGCCGACCTTCTAATTTAAAAAAGCGCGAACATTATTTTCTACACAAATATGTAAAACAAACACCAAAGTGAGTTCACTGAAACTAAACAGAAATTAGGTATGGATGGCTTTGCATACAATGCTGCCGGAGCAACAATTAACTGGATGTTAACACCACTAAGTCTAACAGTCAACAACGCTCTTAACAAACCCATTCCCAGCAATAGGTATGGAGAAAAAGAACTCTAAAAAATTTCCTGCCTCAGACATTCGGAAATTTCCAACAGGCTGAGGTCATGTGACAGCCATTGATGGTAGAGGTTCCGCGCCGTTATTGGAAGCAGCGGCATGACTGCCGACTTTCTTTTCGGTCAGTTTGCGGTGGTGGTGTTCTTCCAATTCTAATTTTTTCGCATTGCAATCTTGTTTAGTTGCCTCCGCTGTATTGTCATGCCAAATTAGTATTTCTTCAGATAACTTGAAGGCAGCAGCATTGACCTTACGGTCAATGCAATAATTTTCCAGTTCGTTCATTGCATTTTCATTGTCTTTCAGTCTTGCTTCATCTTCCCTAGAATTATTATGAAGACTCAAGCAAGCATATATCCCGATTGCATCGAGTGATAGCCTTCGAGTTTATAAATCGTGTTACTCAATTTGAAATCAGTTCAATTTGAAAAATTCCACTGTCGGCGTTCGTACTGGGATGAACATGTTTGAGGATGTACCAGTACTGATCGGATAAGGGTTTGAAATCTTCTTAGTTACAACAATACGAGCAAAATCGCTGAGGCTGGAGCGATTTTACTCGTATATTGTTGTAATTACGAAGATTTCAAACCCTTATCCGACCAGCACTGGTACATCCTCAAACATGTTCATCCCAGTACTATCTAGATACTTCCACGTCTACTTTGACTGCTCTGATTTCAATTCATCTGGTATAGGGATTTCAGACTTGACAAGTATTCGCTTTTCCGAAACTAAAGCGAACCAAATGCTCCAGGGGCCGGATTATCAAAGATTCGTAACTTTTTGTACTTACGACAAAAAAGTTCTGTGGTACGTAAATACACCCTAATTTTGGCATTATCAAAACTTTCGTACGCTAGTCTTAGCTAAAAGCCTAAATTTTTTTCCAGCGCCAATTTTTCCCGCGCTAATGTTTTTATTATACCACCGCTAGTATTACGTTGTCATAGCAACGCCACTCGTAAGTCGATTTTGCGTACTTACGAAGTTTTGATAATACGGCCCCAGCTGGACAACATCTCCTCCGTCTTACGAGTCAATGAGCAGCACAACTTGGCCGCTCGGAGGGCAGCGCCGCAGAAAACTGCCTCATTTTTGCTAAGCGAGTGATCGAGAGACTTTCCTAATGTTTTGGCAATTAGCGATTCAACAGCAAAAATACGCCTTGAGCATCTTACCAATACAAGTATTCGCAGTTTAGTCCAATGCTCTACTGGGTCAATCTACACAACGCACACTCTAGGATTGTATATTGGCTCCTGCACGCATACTCCATTTCTTTCCTGGTAATGATATTCGTGAAATCGATAACGTGCATGAGATATCGACTCTACCTGCATCACGGAAGGAGTCAGAAGTGATAAGTTGTGTTTCAACTTCTCTGTGGCGGTCCTCAACCTCAGCAGAGATCTTTCAGGCTTTTTGAAGGTTTACTGGTGCTCGTCTTCAAAGATTTGATGACGGCTTTCATCATGCACATATATATTAAGTTTCCGCTAATTGTTGAGCCACCGACTGCTTTCTGTACTTTTATTGCTCCATTATTCAGGGAAACTATTGCAGAGCCGAGAGAGCTTGCACCGAAATCGACGACAGCTACACAATTTTTTCTCCGGGGTTCTGGTCCCAATAAGCGATGGCGGCACCGGTAGTCGAGTTGATCAGCGTGACATTCTTAAGGCCAATACAATGCATGCCGTATCTAAAGTGGCTTGTCGCGGTGCGTTGTTGAAATTCACGTCACGGAGATGACAGCGTTTGTGACCTCGCTGCTCAAATTATCTTCTGCTACCGACTTAATCTTGGCGATGAGCGAAGCCGTTATTTCCTCCGCGCGTAGCCTTACAATTTTATTTCAGTACTCGACTTCAAAGGCAAGAGAGCCGTTCTTATCTGTAAAAAATTCAGGAAGGAAATCCGACAAAATTGGTTTTCATTCATTTACAGTGGATCTTGGTTATCTCCATTGAAATAAAACGTCATATTTTCAGAGTCGTGTCGAAGCTCCTACCAAGGACGGTCTTGACGCCATAGACGGTGTTGGTTGGGTTGAGCGTCGCCTGGTCCCTGGCATCGCTGCCCACGAGGCTGCGGGAGTCGGTGAAGGCAACAAAACTCGGAGTTGTCTTGTCGCCGTGAGCGTTTGGCAACACCGTCACCGCTTCAGCGCGCACGCTGGCAACACAGCACTTGCCTGCGTCCATGTCCAGCCCTCGCCCGACATCTTCCTGTGAATATTAATTTGCATTAATATCATACGGTTCAGATGGAAGTCAAATCAGGAAATAGAGCGTTGAAAAAACACGACTAGTTTTACCGCAGGTGAGAAACAGAACCTCGGTATTTTTCAATAGTTGAGAGCAAATAGGATCGCTCGTAGTAGTCCGTGTCTGACGAATAAATACAATTCATTCAGTCCAGAGGTAATTGGTGTACAGTTGGTTGTTCTGTAGAAGTTGGTGTTCAGTATAAATGAACCTAAAACGTCGCCTGTGATAAAAATTCATTCAAATACCTTTGCTTAAATCCGACAATAAGGGTTAAACCATCAGAAACAAAAATGATTCATTAACAATGTTTTTCATCTCCTACATTCTCGAAACTTTAAAACAATGGATTCATCTAGCGGGGCATGACCATCAGGTGCTAGGCTGCCGTATGATCATCAATGCAAGTGACTTGTTTTGGTGTTGTGGTAAGCATTCGTCGGTTATCAACTTTCTTATGGATTTTGTTTATTTATTCCTGCATTTGCGATTTTCATCCCAGAGAAATCCGTAGGTCAGATCCGGAGTTGGTGCAAATTACTGAAAAATCTTCGGACAACGTCCATCATCATCACCACAAGCAGCAACGATGATATGCCTGATACAAACACTCACGGTCTCGCCCTCTGTATATAGAATGAAAACGATTCGTCAGACACGTGGGTAACTGCACTACCGTCAGAAATTCTAGCTAAGTTATAATCAATACTTCCTATATAGAATCTAACTAAAAAGTTTTCTTACGTTTACTGGTAGAATTGATGTTTGGTAGTAGTGGGTAGGCGATAGCTGCATCAGCTGACTGAATCACTACCTCAATCCTCAGTCATCAAACGGACACTGATAAAAGCTATCGTACGAGCCAGGGTTGCCAAATGAGGCCAAGAGGAAAAGGTCAATTTAGCTCACAGAAAAAGCCGAAAACGGCCCCATTTATAATTGATTAGAAAATTTTAAATTCAAGTTAGTTAAAACCATTTGCAGTGCACACATTTACGCTTAAGGCCTCTAGGAATCAAAAATTACATCAAGTTTACTAAATTTACGATCTGAATTACTGTAAATGACACATAAGCCGCCCGCCTTCAGTGAATTATACGTTACTTGCTGATCGTAAATAAAAGCCGCATAATGCTGGTTTGAGGTCAGAACTACGATTTTTAGGATTCAACTGCAGTGACGGAAAAATATTTATGCGTCGAATATGAAAATTTCTTTGTTGCAAGCCCATTTCTGCGTCAGACAGACTAGAAACTTCAACCATAACAACGTTGAGAAACTTCAACCATAACAATGTTGAGAAACTACAACCATAACAATGTTGAGAAACTACAACCATGACAATGTTGAGAAACATCAACCATAACAATGTTGAGAAACTTCAACCATAACAATGTTGAGAAACTACAACCATAACAATGTTGAGAAACTTCAACCATAACAATGTTGAGAAACTTCAACCATAACAATGTTAAGAAACTACAACCATAACAATGTTGAGAAACTTCAACCATAACAATGTTGAGAAATTACACCCATAATAATTTTGAGAAACTTCAACCATAACAATGTTAAGAGACTTCAACCATAACAATGTTGAGAAACTACAAACATAACAATGTTGAGAAACCTCAACCGTAACAATGTTGAGAAACTTCAACCATAACAATGTTGAGAAACTACAACCATAACCATGTTGAGAAACTTCAACCATAACAATGTTGAGAAACCACAACCATAACAATGTTTAGAAGCTTCAACCATAGCAATGTTGAGAAACTACAACCATAACAATTTTGAGAAACTACAACCATAACAATGTTGAGAAACTTCAACCATAACAATGTTGAGAAACTTCAACCATAATAATGTTAAGAAACTACAACCATAACAATGTTGAGAAACTTCAACCATAACAATGTTGAGAAACTACAACCATAACAATGCTGAGAAACTTCAACCATAACAATGTTAAGAAACTTCAACCATAACAATGTTGAGAAACTATAACCATAACAATGTTGAGAAACTTCAACCGTAACAATGCTGAGAAACTTCAACCATTACAATGTTAAGAAACTACTACCACAACAATGTTGAGAAACTTCAACCATAACAATGTTGAGAAACTACAACCACAACAATGTTGGGAAACTTCAACCATAACAATGTTGAGAAACTCCAACCATAACAATGTTGAGAAACTTCAACCATAACAAGGTTGAAAAACTACAAGCAAAACAAGGTTTAGAAACAACAATCATAACAATGTTATGAAACTACAACCATAACAATGTTATGAAACTACAACCATAACAATGTTAATAAACTTCAACCAAACAATGTTAAGAAACTACAACCATGACAATGTTAAGAAACTACAACAATAATAATTTTATGAAGCTACAACCATAACAATGTTAAGAAACTACAACCATAACAATGTTAAGAAACTACAACTAAAACAATGTTAAGAAACTACAACCATCACAATGTTAAGAAACTTCAACCAAAACAATGCTAAGAAACTACAAACGTAACAATGTTAAAAAACTACAACCATAACAATGTTGAGAAACTTCAACCAAAACAATGTTAAGAAACTACAACCAAAACAATGTAAAAAAACTTAAACCATAACAATGTTGAGAAACTACAACCATAACTATGTTAAGAAACTACAACCATAACAATGCTAAGTAACTACAAACGTAACAATGTTGAGAAACTACAACCATAACAATGCTAAGAAACTACAACCAATGTAAAAAAACTTAAACCATAACAATGTTGAGAAACTACAACCATAACTATGTTAAGAAACTACAACCATAACAATGCTAAGTAACTACAAACGTAACAATGTTGAGAAACTACAACCATAACAATGCTAAGAAACTACAACCATAACAATGTTAAGAAACTACAACCATAACAATGCTAAGAAACTACAACCATAACAATGTTGAGAAAGTACAACAATAACAACGCTAAGAAACTACAAACGTAACAATGTTAAGAAACAATAACCATAACACAGCAGCAGAAGTGTTTATAAAAAGCAGTTTTCATCGAGAGCCGCTCCAAGATGGTTAAAAATTGCGACGGTCTCAGGGTTTGGGTATTATTGGGCACCTCAGCAATTATACCGCTGTAGCTCCTGCCTTCCCAGCTGTAGTTTTTCTGTTATTGTCTTGTGTTTGTGATTTCAATGAACAATATCACGAATTCTTTTTGTCATGAAATATCTAAACAAATAATCGGTTGAGATTTAGATTTATTATATATCATCTTCTGACGTCTGAGTTGTTTTATTTACAAATACCTATACTGTAATGCACATTCTATGTTCTCTATTACTTGACTTGGTTTTGTGTTGAATGACTATGTGCTTTTACGACCTTAGTGGCAGTTTATATTGTCCAGCTTATGAGTGTTGGTAAATATAGTTCTTCATATGAATATTCAGTCGAGAAATGTAAGATTTTGTTCCTGAAAATGTCCATGTCATAAGAACGTTCCGTATTTATAATTATTACTTTGCGGATTATATGGCCAGCGAGTTTTATTTCTGCCATCAGTTAGTTTACTTGAATTGTTTTATCATTCCATGCAATACCATGTGAGATGCGGTGATGGTTGTCAAGATCCCTGAACGATGTACGATTACATTGACTCTAAATCGTCCTCAATGAGAACTAAATATCTTCTCGGTGCACTTGGAACCATCGCTGTATTGGAGTATCGTGGATCAGTTGTCCTGATGGTTCCTTCTACTGCCTGCGTTTAATGCATTGTGCAAGTACCTTATTTTTCATAAGTAACGAGGCTCTATAGTGTTCAATAATATAATCACTAAATATTGCACTCAGTCTCATATAAAACACGAACGTTGCGTAAATGATGCTTAGGCTAAATTTAGAATATTTGAACATTGACTAAATTATAACAGTCGGTGACCGGAATGTTTCAGCTCACGAACATTTCAACCTACCAGTCTATCAGGGAGCTTTTGCTCCATCATTCTCAGAAAAGCGTAGAAACTATTTAACTAATGTTTATTATAATCAATAAGTGTGCTGGTCATTTTACACAAGAATATTTCTTGAGAACTCTAGATACAATTTATTGCTACATTATTTCGATATTTGGTGCTATTTTTATGGTGTGGCATATGGACTATAAAGTTACAAGCCTGCAAGAGGCTCAAGTTATTATGACACTCTTTTGCTTGAATCGAATATTCAGTAGAAACTTAAAAGCAAATAAATTCCATAGAAATTCATAATATCTTTATAGAAAGTTTTTCGGAGTCCAGCTCCACCGGCACTTCAAGAACTGTAGAACACAAGTAAATCAGTAATTAGAACAGTCAAGATAACAAATAAACTAAACGGCAGAAGGTATCTTTTTACAATTTGAAGTGGGTACGAGCTAAAAACTGAATTTAAACTAGGCCTCTAATTAATATATACAATGATTCTAAAATGAGCTAATCAGAAACACCGGAATAAAGCTAAAACCTTTAAGTCACTATCAGAAATTGGAACATCGCACTGCTCGACGTGAGCACGCACAGCCGAATGAGGGGGTCGCGATAGTGAGTGACCAGTTCTGCAACTCCTGCCCCTATGTTCTGCGACCCTAGAATAAAGATTTTGAGTCGTCATCCCTATGTACGCAGGTGCATATCGTACACACTTATATTTATAAGCTAGGGACGCTTGCATATGAATAAAGAGGATAGTTTTTATACATGCGCGAAAAAATTCATGTGAGAGAAAAATACACATGTGTGAGAGGAAAATTCTGATAAGGGGAGTCACACTACCTTTAACTCTCCGTATTTTTCTCTCTACTACCCCTTCATTTTCCGTATTTTCCCCTTACAATACACTTCACTCTCGGTATTTCTCCTCACACTGCCCCTTAACTGACCATATTTTCCCCTCACACCACCCTTCACTCTCCGTATTTTTTCCTCACACTGCCCTTCATTCGCCGTATTTTCCCCTCATACTACCCTTCGCTCTCCGCATTTTCCACTCGCACTACCCTTCTCTCTCCTTGATATCCCTTCACACTACCATTCACTTTCCATATTTCCCCATACACTACCATTTACTTTCCATCTTTCCCCTCACACTACCATCCACTCTCCGTATTTCCCCTTCACACTGCCCTTCTTGTCGCGCATGGTGCTGTAGGGTATCTCACCATTTAGTATAATTCATACACAATTTACCTTGCATTTCTTCATAACTTAATCGGCAGCTCATAATCACCAGAGCCTTCAATACGAGTGGTGGTTCCGAACTGGTGATAAATAGCCTCCTGAGGTAACTTTCTATTTTTTAGGGTGAAAGATTTGTAAAGAATTTTTTGAAGTATTTAGTTACGCATATCAATGTTAGCAATAGACATGGGGTGAAATTCTTATTGTGACATTTAAAATAACGAAAGAAAATAATTTGCATGATGTGTTGCGTTTGTATGATGTTGCTGTGAACGAAATTCCAAACGATAATTATGTTGTAGCGGGCCTACTTTTGACCGCGCTGTTTCTTTTCAGTCGCCGTACTTCTGCGACTATGACTTAACATAAGTAGTTTAGAAACTCTTCTCTTCCTTTGGGTGCACGTAACATTAGTTGATAGCTGGGCTCTGATTTCTTTTCTAGATTCGTGTTCACTGTGAATTTATGCTGCTTTGTTTATCCGTAAATAGTTCTAACAACTTTCAACGCTTCAAGCCTGATATCGGACATACTGTGAGCATGTGATTCAATGTTGGTTATATATATATATATATACACTTCTCGAGTCAAATTGGTAAAGTTTGGAAGAAGCTTTTCTTATATGCAAGTCTGAACTTTGCTTTGTTACCAGAGCATGCTTTACATTAATCTTAATTGTTTTTTCAAAGAGGTTAACAAACTTCTTGCTGGCGCCGGGGGATCGAGAAGCAGGTTACCAAATGACATATTATTGGAATGCTGCGTTTCGAAAATACAATTTTCATTATCAAGAAGGTGAAGGTTTCGCAACACTTGAAATTGAACTTTGGAACTGACAGTAGTACAAATCAAGGGTACAGTGGATGCAATTTAATATCCAAGCTTAAAATAAGTTTGAAAATTATTTCAATGTCAGGACGAATCCTTTAGTTTGTAGGTAGCTGGAGATTCTCTCTTTCTCGAGTTATATGCACTTCTCGACTGGTGAAATACTATCTTTAGCCCCTTATACTTCAACTTTTTCATCATCCTCCAACGTTCAGGGTCCGCAGTTAGCGACTTGTAATAACGTTCATGTAGCATACATGTCCCGCTACGTTGCGACCGACACGCAAGTACGATCCTCCCCGGGGGGGGGGGGGGGGGGGGGGAATCCATGTTACACATTCAAATCAGTCTCAACGCGAATGTAATAATTACATTTGCAATTCACAGCTTGTTTTGGACATTTCATGAAGAGTGTTTTACTCTCCAATTTTACTTCATACATCTACTAAATTTGAGACTTGTTTGTCAGTCGCTACTTTACGATAACGATGTTCATTATCGATAATGTTAATTCATATAGCGGAAACTAATGCCCGTTAATTAAGTAGCTGGGCATATGAACTTTCCTCAAGGCTGTCATTCGGTAATTAGTATCCTTCCTCGAGGTTATTATGACTGCCAATTTGTTGGGATTCTCCAGGTTAAAGTTCTAACCTGAACCAGTGTTGAAATTAATCGGTCTCCTCTCGTGCCACATGATGCCCCGATTTTACTGCTCTAACGAGTATGCCTTTCTTCCGACCTGCGGTAAAACTTACCGGATTTTTTTTTTTAATCTCATAAATATTGTTTTCTCCAAGTCGCATGATATTATTGTTGTTTCTGGTTTGCAGGAAGATGTTGGGCTGGGCCAGCATCGGCCTGGACCTGGGCTCAGGCAAGTGCTGTGTTGCCAGCGTGCGCGCTGGAGCGGTGACTGTGTTGCCAAACGCTCACGGCGACAAGACCACTCCGAGTTTTGTTGCCTTCACAGACTCCCGCAGCCTCGTGGGCAGCGATGCCAGGGACCAGGCGGCGCTCAACCCAGAGAACACTTTTTATGGCGTCAAGACCGTTCTCGGCAGGAGCTTTGATAAGAATCGGAATAATGAATTGGCATATATAGACGGAAATGAGATTCGGACTCGTGAAAAAGTTATGATGAATTTTCTTCCTGAATTTTCGATAACCGAGGAAGGCTCACCCTCCTTCAAAATCAGGTACAAAAATAAGGAGTTGATGTTGCATGCGGAAGAAATAACTGCCTTACTAATCGCCAAGATGAAATCTGTAGCAGAAGATAATTTAGGAAGTGCGGTTACGAACGCAGTCATTTCCGTCCCCGTAAATTTCAGTAACTCGCAGCGACAAGCCACTCTCGACGCGGCCCGCATCGCCGGCCTTGTAAACGTCACGCTAATCAACTCTACCACCGCCGCTGCCATCGCTTACTGGGACCAGCACCCCACAGAAAGAGATTGCGTCGCTGTCGTTGATTTCGGTGCCAGTTCACAAAGCCTCGCCATACTTTCCATTGATAACGGGACTGTTAAAGTTCTGGAAGCTTATGGAGGTTCAACAGTAAGTGGAAACCGTATCGACTTCTGCATGATGCGAGCCATTGTCACAAAATTTCAAGAAAAACACGGAAAATTTTTCGAAGAGTCACCTAGAGCCTTGGTGAGACTGAGGACCGCCACGGAGAAGTTGAAGTTCAATCTGACTCTTCTTACCTCTTCCGCATTGCAAGTTGACTCCCTTTCTCACGGCATTGACTTCACAACTACGTTTCCCAGGCAAGAAATGGAAGAGTCTTGCAAGAGCCAGTTTGAAATCCTCGGAAATGTTTTGCGTCGATGGGCAAAATCCAAAAATTGGGCTGCAGTTCGAACAGTTGTGTTGGTGGGAGGCTCAACGCGTATTCCTGCCGTAGAAAAGCTGATAGCAGAAACTTTAGGAAAACCTCTGGATCACTCGCTCAATAAAGACGAGGCGGTTGCCTGTGGCGCTGCCCTCCGAGCTGCCGAGCTGTGCTGCTCAACACCGCGCGAGGTGGAGGAGGTGTTGTCCAGGCGAATTAATTTTGAGGCCGGCGCGGAGTCAGGGATAATTGTTGAAACTGGAGCAAGAGTTCCGGACGACTTCAATCGCCCAACTTCAAATGGCATCTGGAAACGAAACTATGATCACGGGATGAGAATATTTGAAAATATATCGGAGAATGACGACAAAATAGTTAGAACCATCGCACTGACGACAATAGGAGCAGGACAGCTCGGCCGTTCACCTTCCTCGGGTGCACTTCTATTTACGATCGATGAAAGTGGAATTGTTAGAATTGAACTAATTTCTTGTGGGAAGGCACGCGACATACCTATTGGGGGCCTATTATCGGACAAGAAACGCGCAAAAATTTGTTTGGGTAATCATAAGATGTTTCTGGATGATGAAGCAAAATTGAAAGAAAATGAAAATGCCATCAACGATCTTGAAACTTTCTGCCTCTACCAACTGGAAAAGCTCGGCGAGAAGTTCGGACATGATTCTGCTGCCTTCAAATTGTGTAAAGAAATTTTGACTTGGCTTGAAAATACGCCGGAGGCAACGAAGCAAGAATGCGATCAGAAAAGAATTGATTTAGCGAACAAAATATATTCTGTATTCAACTGCAAGAATCTGCCAACTGAACCCGCTGAACAAGAGGCATGCCAATTAGATAGTACTGATACTTACACGAGCAACCGTGCACTTGCACAACCGCTTACCAAAGACCGGGGGCGACCCACTAGTTTGACTGATACCAGAGTGAAATACGAAGAACACAATCTTCCAAGCGAACCAACACTGCATGAGCTAGGGCGTAGTCAACCGCATCGGTCTGGTCCGACTCCAGTACCAGTTCCTGCACCCACACCGTCGCGAACTTCGGGTGAGACGACATCTATTAATTGTAATGCAGTCTCGTCAGCAATTAAAGATCAATTTCAGCAACCTGGATCATTCTGTGATAAAATCTCTAGTGGACAAAGTTGCAGTGAAACCTGTATCCAGGAAAGAGATCTACATACCCAACTCGACTGTCGTTCCGAAAACCTTCTAAGTGATTATAACCCTTCCTTTTCTCCGAACTTCAGTTAGAAATGACATGGGTGATATCAAAACTTTTCCTAAAGCTGCGGCTGAATGCAAACTGCAAAATACCCCAGTTATTGTTTATAAAAATACTGCTGCAGTCTCGAAAAAGATGCAAAATCAACGATCAAAGGAACGAAACAAAGCTGGTGTTGGGCAAGGTCGGCACACGGGAAAACGAAAAGCTGAAGGAGATTCTAAGATATTAAACGAGACTTGAATCTCGACAACTGCAGTGACCGCGTAAGTGAAGATAGCAGCTTGAATAATAGAAAGGAGCAAGGTTTGCTTCGGCGTGGGGTCGACATGGTCATAGGTTGGATCTCCCCAAGAAACGAAATTCTGATAATAATGTTAAGCTGTTATGCCCAATGTTACAAAGTTCTTGATACCTACATAGTTTCGTTGTTCAAAATCTGCATTCATTCTTAAAATTGCACGAAAAATGCGTTTCTAAACTTTGAACTTGATGGTACCATCTGGCCATATTGCACTGCTCATGGATAGTTTATGAAACACCATGATTGACTGGATACCTTTAAACGCATTCTAGTGTTATTGTACCGTAGATGGAATAAATTCTTATACTTAATCGTCATTTTATACTCATCGCTGCGCGACTTCCACAATTTATCGGAGAGTTCTTGTATTGTATTCATGACACCTCGGGTGAACTATGAATAACGATAAATATGTATAAACTAATATTTCACTTCAGTAAAATGAGGTCAAGTGATGATAATAATAATGTCATTAGCTTCACTTTTGTACCGCATATCAACTGTGTCAAAACTGATACTTGGGCAAAAAAGCCCCTCAGGAGGTCTTCTGTGTCACAAGTTCTATGTAATCGCGCGTTCCTAAAGGTATATTCACTGTGCGCCACGCATCAGAGCTTAGTCTTCAAGAAAGACTAAAGAGTTGAAATGAATTGGCTCGTGTATTAAATATTCTTACGGTTATTATTATACCTGATATGTATGTAGGGCTGTAGGCGTATGTATAAACTCGGCAATACCGTCCTGTCCTGAGAATTTTTTTTCCTTATTTGGTGCAAGAATTAAATCCTATTCCTGGTGTTCCATTCGTTGTGAATCGAACATTTGGACTAATGTGTGGTCCCATAGGCGCTAGATTCCTTTACTATGAATATTTCATGTATGAAAGAAACGGAAGGAATGTATCAAAATTTTAATATCAGTGGTTGTAACAATCCAATGCGAAGCAAATGTTTTTTCTTTCATTTCCAACAACCCGTAATCTGATAACCCATATTAAGTGGGAGACTTGCTCACCTGCTAATGTGGACTTTGTTGAATAGCGCCTGGTGTGCCATGGTGTATATATGTGATGTATAAATTTATCTATTTCTCAGGAAAACCTCTATCTAATAAAACTTCTGCTAATATCTTGCTGACATTCATTTATGCGCACTGGCTGGCCGTATGCTGAGCGGTTCAGCGTTTACTGTGACCACTATCACTTGACGCGCAGCGCAGCGCTGCTTTGCTTGAAGTGTAAACCTGCGTCAGCGTCAACGCTTCTAGTCTGGGCGTAGCCTTAGGCTGGGTTTACGCCATACTACCGGACCAGTGCCAGTCAGGGTCCATTCCAATATTCTATAATGCATTTCCATAGAAGCCTTTACGCCATGGGCTTGGCAGGTGCCTTGCACGGCTGGTGTGAATTCTTTTACAGAACTGTATTTATTAATATTGGACTGGACCAGGATTGCCATGCAGACGGTCTTTTTGCCAGCAAATTCCACGATTTAGTTTTTTTTCAATTGCGTTGCCCGGTTAAAATTTATGATATGGGTAATTCCTATTTAAATTTTAAAAACTGCAACGAAAGAAATGGAATTTTTACACCGGAACCTACAAATATTCTAGCATATATTGAGTTACTGGCATTTTTGGCCTTTTTTTGTTTGCGGACTTGGCCATTTGGCAACCCTGGACTGGACCGTGACTGGCTTATGCCTGGCACGCGCCCGGCAGTATATGGCGTGAACTCGGCCTAAGATTAAAGGAACCAATGGTTTCTGCAATTTTTTCTGCTTTTTCCTTATGTTAGTTATCTTGCTGGACATCATTGTGAATACCATAGTTTTTGTATGAATAAATTAATAATCGATAAATAGTGTTTAATTGACTTTACATTTTCGAATAATTATTCAGCTGCTTGTTTTGTAGACCGAACACCTCGCCTTTCACAATTTTTTTACAGAACAATGCTTGAATCTAAACTGGCAAGCGATCTGAATGCTCTTTTATCGAATTAATTTACCTAACTGCTATTTCGTTATTTCAAACTGATTAAATAGTTTGTACAGAAGGCGTCAAACAAAAGCATTCAAATGAAATTTGAGTAAAAAATTTCAGTAACTGTATCAGTGCTACGTCCACTCACTGCTTGTACTGGGAGTAAGAAAGTTTGTCACTATTTGGACACAATGACCCATCCGTTTACCGAATGTACTCGGTACTGTTGACCCGGGAACATTTATTGGGAAAATGTTCCTTCAAATCGTCATTCTTGATATATCTTCCGAATGCATCGCATGTAACAACAATATTTTTTCTCAGTGCCCTTGAGTTTACGCAGAAATAAAACTGGAGGAATTTTCAGCACCTAGTTCTGGTATGGGCGTCAGATCAGGCCTGGCGAGCTACTGAGTCGTCCACATTTCATTCATGGTTCAAAATTTTTTAAGTGCAACTTCAATAAAATTTAAGGATTGAAAATTGAAAAAAACTTCTTCTCCTGCTATGCATCGAACATTTTCGTGAAATGGTCGAGTTCAACAAATGCTCGATATCAGGAAAAACTAAGTTTTTCTTTCTCTTCACGTAACTTTAGCTGGTAAGAGCCTTAGTTCTGATTTTATTTTATTCTGTAACTTTGATATATTATAAAAAAATTTTTGTGAGTTGGTTTTTTTCAATTAACATGATCACGATCGCTTTTAGGGTTGTTATTACTAACTATATGAGCTGAAGATGAGATTTTCTTTAGTTTAGATTACAGTTTGAGACTAGTGCAACAAAGCTGATTTTTTAACAGATTCGCAATTATCAACTATTGGCGAAATAACACGTTATTATTAGAATTAGAAATTGGATTTTGTATTTAAAACAAGGGAAAATGTATACACTACAGACGACCTACGGTCGTGCTGTAAGTATAGTTGTGCTGTACTGTACAGTGTATATATATAGTTGCTGTAAACGAGTTCAACTTTGAATTGAACAATGAATGCTACACATCATCAAATGGATAGTTACCGATGTATAAATAACAAATTACGCTGTTGAATACTACATCATCTACATGTGTATTGTAGTTATGACATCATTGTTTGTAGGATATTTCCTTCAAAAGTGAAGGTTATAGTGCCGGGACAATAATTTATTAGAGATAATGCATTTATGGAGATATGAACCTTGGCTCCTCAACACTAACAAAATTTTGAGCAGTGCGCCACCCTGAATTAGGGCAGCCTAGGACTAGGGGAGCACGTAAATAAGCTTTTCTTGTCCGCTTCGGCACGAGGTTCGAAGGGCAGCCTCTGGACAGCTTGCAAGCTCGGTATGACTCGGCACGGCCGACACTTGTCATGCTCTCAGGCGACTATATAAAGTCGGGAAAAGGATTCTGACCAGAAACTCGTTTTGATCAGGTGGCCAAGCAGACCCACAATAACTTTGAGCCGAGTGTAGCGACTATTCGGCCGAAGCCTAAGCGGTCCCCGAATTTTGTTGGGGTAATCGAATCGTGCCATTCGTGCAAGGTTGCTTGACAAGAATGCGTGTCATTTGTGATCTCAGGTTTTTTATATAATTGTATTTTTCTTCATCATTAACATTTAACAGGGCAGGGTGGCCCCGTGGTTACAGCTTAGAGTTTCAGGATTTTAGCAGAGATTCTAGCTGAAGGATCACTGCTCTGCCAGTAATCGATCCCAGATTGCCTTCGATCCCAGCTACCTGCAACAGTTCTGGCCAGGTAGCTGGGCGGCTGAGCAACGCAAAATTGAAGCAGAGTTGAGTGTTCGAGACCCGCAACTAGCTGTGAATGTTCTGCGATGGTCTGAATTAGCGACGGTTTAACTGCCTGAGGAACGCTTACACCGCTATTATATTATATCAATATTCGTTCCCGACACGGCTTTCTTAACTGAATTTCAAGATTTTTCATAGAAAAAAATTGTATGCTATAAGTCGACAAATAAATGAATTTTCGATGGTAATTCACTACCATTATTTCATACTGAATGTTTACTAGCATTATTTCATACTGAAATTATTCGTTTGACTACCTGGATAATATCTCGTTGACATTATTTGCAGTATCAACATTTATTATCAAAGAAGTGGAAGATATTGTCTTCAGTCTAATTCTAAGTGGTGCATAAATATCGAAGCGAAATATTTTGTTAAATAATTTTATTTTAGGTTGAGTTTGAGTTGAGCTAGGTTGGAGTCGGTGGAATATGTGCATGCTATATCCTATCTTATCGCTCTATGACGAGTGTACCCACAGTACGAACAAGGCTAGTTAGCATGTTCACATACAAATTTTTCAGAAATATCCCTCCTGAGAACATTTTTAATTAAAAAACCAGCCATAATTTCAGATTGACCCGGCCGTCTAAGCGAAATTCAAGGTGGCGGCGAAACAAGACTACGCGATTGGCATCGACTTGGGCACGAGCAATTCGTGCGTGGGGGTCGTTATCAACGGGCGCGTGGAGATCATAGTAAACGAACAAGGCGATCGCCTTACGCCGTCGATTGTTGCGTTCACTGATTTTTCATCTAATTTTAATATTTGGACTCAGTTATAATGGTCAAAATTTATCACTGAATTGAAAATGGACGGAATTTTTTTAGCTCTTCGAGTCGTAATTCATGGCTAGCCGATGCATAACCGCACCTAGAAGTGATGGAGCGGTGCTGTACTTAAAGAAATTTAAAAACGTTAACCAAATATTAAAAAATGTGATTCAGGAACAGAAGTTCTCCTCACCAACTAGTTCGAGCGGTGATTCCACAATCCTAATTGAAGTAGAACGAACCTGCATCTGATAGATGGCATCAAATAGATGGGGCCTTCACCCATAATTAGAGGAAGGAGTTAAAAATGAGTGCGTGGCTGAGTTATGGAGCGTATTCCATATTTTTAAGTTTTGAAATTTCGCTCTCTTCAAAACTCCTGAGGGCTCAGTTCGATCTACGTAGGTTCAGTTCGATCTACATGGGTTCAGTTTTATCTACGTGGGTTTAGTTCCATCCACGTGGATTCAAGAAAAAGATATTGAACGAGAAAAAAATTAAATGAATTTGAAATTCGTGCAACCTAGAGCAATTTCTTCCAAAAGGCAATAACTTAAGATAATGAACTTTCGTTTTCAAGCAATTAGAGAAAATCATTAATTGAAATCGGATGCATGTGTATGAATTCCTCATTTGAAAACTTAGTCAACTCTATATTAGGTATTTATAGTCTAGAAGCTCTTTACACGTGTACTAGAAGCTTTTTACACGCAGGCTAGCAGCTCTTTTCAAGCAGGCTAGCAGCTCTTTGCACGCAGGCTAGCAGCTCTTTACACGCAGGCTAGCAGCTCTTTACAAGCAAGCAGGCTGGCAGCTCTTTACACGTAGGCTAGCAGCTCTTTACAAGCAAGCAGGCTGGCAGCTCTTTACACGCAGGCTATCAGCTCTTTACAAGCAAGCAGGCTGGCAGCTCTTTACACGTAGGCTAGCAGCTCTTTTCAAGCAGGCTAGCAGCTTTTTACACGTAGGCTAGCAGCTCTTTACACGCAGGCTAGCAGCTCTTACAAGCAGGCTAGCAGCTTTTTACACGCAGGCTAGCAGCTCTTCATACGCAGGCTAGCAGCTCTTCACACGCAGGCTAGCAGATCTTCACAAGCAGGCTAGCAGCTCTTTACAAGCAGGCTAGCAGCTTTTACATGCAGGCTAGCAGTCCTTTACACGCAGGCTAGCAGCTCTTCACACGCAGGCTAGCAGCTCTTCACTACAAATGAAACTTGCTCCAAATCGTTTTCCCGTCTGAATGGGCCGATTCTATTTCCTGATTTCGGTTGAAGCTCCTGCCTATATATGACGGTCTTGACGCCATAGACGGTGTTGGTTGGGTTGAGCACCGCCTGGTCCCTGGCATCGCTGCCCACGAGGCTGCGGGAGTCGGTGAAGGCAACAAAACTCG